CAAATGACTTTAACACAGAGACTATGCATTTCCTATTGTTCACCTACTGGTTGATTGACCGACTGACCGGTTAACGTCAGGCATGCACTTCATTGGTTGTTACCCAACGATCCACTCACAAATGCCTATTCTCAAGGCCCGCATCTTTTCGTCGCAAGAATACAGTGCTTCTTCTGTGCCTGTCCACGTGTGTGTGGTCTTAAGCAATTTTCCTCTCCTGTTTATGCCTGAACAGGCTTGTCTAAGACCTCACCACTCACATGCACACCAGGTGGTAACAACAGTCAAAGGGGAAGAAAGATCCCATTCTTTGGAGATAAAACGCAACTTTATATGCATCATCTCCCACTCTGTTTAGGCATATCGCCATGATATTCCTCCTTCTTCTTGTTTAATGTGAAAGCGATAGATTAGAAATTTTTTAGTAGGGAAGTCGACGACAGGGTTAGTAGATGCTGAGCTTACAAAGACAAAAAAATGAAGAGAAAGTAGGGGATAAAACAGGTGCGGAAAGAGCATTTCCACCTCTAAGAAGTTTTAACTACCCTTGGTTGCCTTTGGGAATGTTTATACGTGGTAATGGTGATGGCCTCACCTCACCCCACCTTAGGTACACCCTTTATAATCCAGCCTTATGAAAACACCGGAGGGAGCTTCTCCTTTGTTACTTTCTGCTCTGCACTACCCAAACAAAGACATTTTAAGTAATTTAGACAGAAAAAGCGACTGAAAGAAACCAGGCTCTTTTTTTAAAAAAGAATTAACCTACCTGTCTTTTCGTTTTTTTTTTTGCTAAAAATGACTCCGGTACAGACTTAACCTTCAGAATGTCGGTAGGGATGTTAAGAGCACCTCAAGTCTTTTGGATGTTTCCTGAAAGTCAGCCCAACTTACACCGGGTTCATTGTAGACCAGCCCCGCCTGCAGCCAGGGATTTCGCACGGACATCAGCCCACCGGGTTTTATGAAGCCCTGATTGTTGATTACCGCGTCTGTTGCCTCGTTCAGTTGCTGTAGTTGATGCAGCTCAATGATCCAGATCGGTGGACATGCACAAAAAAGGTAGGCTAGAAGGCATTTGGTAAACCTAGAGAACACATGGAACAACTGACAAGTTTGGCGGATAAATATGCGTTTGAGTTGCTAAAATGTATGACTTGATCTTCACGATGACGGCTGGATACTCGCTTGGTCTTCCAGCTCATCGAGTAGACGTTAATCTTCCTAACCTTTACTAAACGGGTGGTAGTCAGGAGGCATGCAGTGGTTCCATTCTCTTATCCGTTGGAGCTATTAGCACGACTAATCAAGGAAGTCGAAAGAGCACGCGACGTTCTAGAACGTTTTGTAACTAGTCATAAAAAGAGGAAACTATTAGAACATTGAACCAGGAACGTATTTCCGAGATTGCAGACATCCTTAACCGTCGAAATGGCCGTCAGGAAGGGTTAATTACAAAGACCGCCAACTACTGCCAAGTGGAGGCGTAAAAGTGCAAACTTTCTGGCCGGAAACCCTCCTTTCTGCCACTTCCGCTGGGAGGCTCATCACAAATAGCGCTTAGCGGGCTATTCGGCTTCATCTTTCTACGAGAACAGTAGAATGCTACACTTTTTCACAAATGTTCAGTCGCATGTTGCAACCAGGATGGTAGTGGATGCATCCCGTCAGAATTCACCAGGTGCGACGATACTACTCAAATCAAAGGCTTCTTCTGGCCGCAAGAAAAAAATTGGCACATCGGGACCAAAGCGTTTAAAAGGTGACCTAAAAACTTCCATATGATACAAAAATTAATGTGCACAGCAAGATTTCGTATAACTACTAGACAGTAGGACGTGGTGGACAGCTTAAATATTTCATGCCAATTTTGTGCTCATAAAAAAGGGATAACTTGAGTTTATAGGGCACAAAATTAGCTAAAAAACGCCGCTGACCAGCCCCACTAATAAACCTATCATAAAGCTGTTTTGTCGGGCATTTACAGAGGCGGAATTCTTAATGCATGAAAGCAGGAATTCCGCTCAAATTCCAGTTTATCTGGAATAAGAATGATTTTGCACTTTCAGATTAGCCGCTTTTGAAGTCCATGGAACCAAATAATTGTGTCTAAAGAGACTGTTAAAGAAATTTGTGCTCAAATTTATGTTGAATTCTTAACCAGTTATTTTAAAATAATTCTGGTGCTATTTATGCCAAGCCATTAGAAGCTGACTCAATAACTCACCACTTCTCAGTTTTATCCTGAACCCGCCGGGGAGATACTACGAGTCCAATTGAATAGCACAGATCTACCAGCAACGGAAGCATAAGGAGGCACAACAACCAGTAGACATTTTCGCCTTTGGCGCTTACCACCGTCACAACAAGTGTCAAGGTCAAAGCTAGGAACACAAATCGCGCCAAAATTGCTCGGATCGCGATTAGGAGCTGGAGAATGCCTATCCAACCGCGACAAAAAGTTCGCAGACAGCATCCAGTCGAGGGATCCTGAATCACTGCTCTACTGTACTTATAGCCAAAAAAGCTGATGCCTGAAGGTCGTCTAGAGGTCCCAGAGGTTTTATGCGACGCTATGCTTTGACTGTTGCAATTTGTAAAGTCCCTAAAAGGGGGACGAGGCTGAAGACTCTGAAGGGAGCTGGAAGTTGGTGGATCGCCTGGATGCTGTTGCGATTGTTTTCTTAAGTGTTGCTGCTGTTGATACTGATGCTGCCGCTGCTGTTGCTGATGTTGGGCGAGGCCGTTTTTAGTGAAGCGCCGAGGGTAGGGTGGTTTTGGAGGAGTTGCAAGGTCATCAGAGGAGTTGGTGAGGTCTAGGAGACAGTCGTCTGTCTTCGACTGTGGAATATCCATCAGATAGGAAGCTGAAATGGAAGGAGGACCTATAATTAGCGGTGGAAAATTCCTCTACAATTTAAAGCATGCGTCACTCTTCTTCCCGACTTTGTCACAGAAGAATATCTTTTTCCTACAAAAACTTCACCAAATGAAAAATCTACTCACATGCAAATTCAATGGGAGAAAGAAGTGCCGGTTTAGAGCCGAAGGCTGGTCATCAGTGAACGGTGTACAGTCGCTCTTTGTAAACAGTTAAGCAGGAATTTTTTGTAAAAAAAAACACCAATAGTTTGTTTATTTTTGTCCTCATTTATAAGGCAAATAACGGGTCCTGTTTTGTAAAAAAAGGCATTAGGAACCGTAGGCAAATTTGCCTTTGAAGTCTGAACCGCCTAATTAATTATAAAATGCATGCAAACGTAAAAGCCGGCTAATTTCTCCCAACACAATCACTAAAAATAAAATAAAATATTCCTCGAATTTTAATTAACTGCAGTAAAATAAAAGTTATTTTCTGAAATTTTCTTATGAAAAAAGGAAATAAATAAAACTAAGTGAGTGAGGAAATATTTAATTCATTCAAAAGTTATAAAATGTATGAAACCAAAAAAATAAACTGAAGGCTTTTTCATTTAAATTGCTATATTTTTATGTCTTTAATATTCTTCCCCTTTTTGTCTGTTTGAATAATAGCTTTATACATCACAAAATGCTTTATCTGAATTCTTCTTAAGTGTGTACATGTTTTTGCATTGAAAGGGCGCCAAAAACCGGGCCAGACATGATTGTAAAAAGCGTTTTTCACTTTTCGCTGATTACTTGTGCAGTTATGAGGTTGTCGCCAGATGAAGTGTTAAGTATTTACCAAAGTACCTTCGACTTGTTTTCCGACCTCTATTGCGAAAATGTGAAAGTGAGCGGCCAGTTTACGGACCACTTAAGTGGTGAATTCACGAGTGGGCGAATTATTTAGTAGATATAGGCAAAATTTAAGGCCTTTGAAACCCTTTGTAGGGGTTTGCATGAATATATACCTTGATAAAACACTAAGACAGGTAATAATAATTTGCTTAAAATAGAGGGACGGAAACCCCAACATAGTTAAAGCATGCTACAGTAGCATTAAGCACTGTAAGCCCCAGAAAATAAGACCTGATCGTTTGTGAGATCTGCACACGCAAACTAGATGGAATGTTAAAGCCAGTGCTATGATTTCACTGTATACTTCAATCCGAGAAGCAAGATGTCTCATTTTATGGGTCTTGGAAGAAGGGGGAGACAGTATCTACCACAGCCTGGATAATGTATACATGAAATCGCGCTTGAAAGCGGGCGAAAAGTAGTTAAATATGTAGCTAATTTAAAGACCTTTTCTGATGAATCATTTCAAAAGGGTGTTTCTAGAGTCTCTTAAAGTGGTTTCCTACACCACACTGATGTTGCTTTATCAGTGGGCAAATTACCAGTCAACTTGGCGCATACCAAACCTTTACTGACTTATTTAATTGGATTTTTAAAGAATAAAATAAAAATATAGATAAAGTGACAGACAAGGGAAAGGTCTGTGAATGCGAGACAATTTGGTCGAGGAAGCGATGTAAATTGGTATGGCGATAAAAGAAATTTTGTAAGCTTAAGGAGTACTAAGGGGTTAAGGAGTTTAAAAAGAAGTCCCCAAAAGCGAGTAAGAAAAGCAGGTAAATAAGGTCTACTATAAAGAAAGAGGAAAGAAAAATTCCTTCTTAAGATGCCTCAGGGGAAGCACATCGAGAAACTTGTGGTAGAATATTTAAATATCCTTGTCAAGAAAAAAAAACAAAGAAGTAAATCCGCAGCTTGCCATCACATGAGTATTATCTTTTTACACAAAAATTAAGGAACGCTTGATATTTGAGATACGATTTTCAGTTAAAATAAATGATTAGGTAAAGTAGGAAAATATCGTGGAATATGGGAACAAAATAAAATCTAATTTTAAAAACAAAATTTTGTCACAAGTGCAAGGTGCACGTGTTTCACTGCAAGCGTGTATAATTTCCTTATTTCATTAAAAGAGGTCATGTTTGTTTAAAACCATCCTGAGTAAAATGTGGCAAACTAAACACCACCTATATTTGCATTCGTACAACCTAATCAAATAAACTTTGTTTAAAAAGAAATCAAAAGATAAATGTCGGCCCTTATTTATCATTTCATTCTTAACGGACCTATAAAAACTGAAGGGATACATGAAAGAGGCTGCGTTTAGCCCCATCAAGAATACATTCGGTATTTTGACGTTTATTTTTACATACTAAGGCAGACACACGCACATTAGCTTGGAAGGTTTTGTAAACAAATTTTTTAAGCAATTTTCGTTTAAAAAGTAAAAAGGCTGTCATTCCACTGAACTCGAAGATAAAGCTCGGATTTCCTGGACTTACTTGTCTCATTGCGATTCATTGTCTCATTTTTTTTCTAAATGGAAGAGGAGAATAAGAAATGTACACAAAAGTAGTAAAAAGTTCTGTTATTTAAATAAGAGGCAGGCCAAAATCTCATCCTGTGGGATTTCGCTCTCTCCATGAACAGGAAAATCTTTTAAGAGGCCCCATTTAAAGTCGATGCTCCGGACTAGTAAAAAGTAAGGATTTCACCGGTTTAAGCAAAGCCACATCTTTATGGTATATAATGTCAAAATTTTTCCTATTTCTTTCTTTTTTTACCTACTTTTACTAATTCGCCTTAGCTTAGGCTAAGTAAATTCATAAAGATATTTACACCCACACAAATTAAACCGTTTTTGGCAATACCTCCATAAGTGTTGGCGACTTTAGTATCAGAAGTAGGGTAATGCATTCGTTATCCACTCATGTAATCTTCTAACATGTATTTATATTCTTTTCAAAATGAGGAAAAGAAAAAAAAATTTAATGAAACAATTATCTCCCGAGTGTGAGATATACTGCTGATAAGGTTTCGTGCAAGACTTTTCGTTGTTTCTGTCTCTCCCTCACTTCCTCTACATCTGGGGTTTGGGCATCAATTTCTCCCCAACACACTCAATTTAACTGTACATCACCTTTCCTTCTTCACCAGTACAGCAAAAAATATTTAAAAGGGTTGATTTACAAGAATACAAGTCCATTTTATGACTTGAAAAGTAACAAATCAAACGCCGCCTCTTCTCTTATATATATATATTTATAAAGTGCATATATATTCCATTATCAGCCATTAAATGGGGGCAGTTTATTTGCGTGGGGGTTCATCAAACTGGCTAACTTGAAATTGAAGAGCACAGTAAAAACAGAGAAAGACAAATAGTTGTCTTTAATTTTGAACAGAAGACCGAGCACCCTGTAGAATGGGGAAGGGACGAGATATCCAGTGTAACCGTAAAAATTTTTTTAAGTAAAAATGGGTTTCTTTTTCTCTTGAAGTGAATAAATTTAATTTAATTTAATAAGTCAAAACGGAACCGAATGCCTGGAATGGAGGGAGGATAGACAATCTCGCCCTTTTTTAGTCTCAATCAGTTCTACCCGTAGATGCAGAAAAGAACATTCATCGATATAAATCTTATGTTATAAAAAGGTGGAGGAAAGTCTTTGTGGGAAAAGCAATCTTTAAAGTGTTTTGGTTCCATTTTTAAAAAACCTGTAGTGAAAAAATGCCCTTTTTCCACTGCGTCAAAAGAGCACAGTAGCAGTGAGAGTTAATTCATATTTGGAATAATTCCCATATGTGTTGCGCCTTATGAACCAGGAGGCGTGAGATTCAACAAAATATGAAACGGGCGGCTGAAAATAAATAGACCCTGTCAGCAACAAGTGTACTTTCCAGGAACGCAATTAATGCTCATCTTATATGTTTATTCGGTTTCTCAAATAACATTCTCTTTACCAAGTATTCTGACTTCCTTCCTTTCTCCTAAAAAGAATATTTAGCTCTTTTAAGAAAAAAGAAGAGATTTAAAGCGTCTGTTTTAAAGAAAATTAAGTAATTATTTATCATATAGGTAGACAAGAGTACTTCTTTTATTTTTCACTCTCCACCTCCCCCTTTTGAGGCAATAGAAGCACTGCAAAAGTGGTAATTTCAATGGTGCATTATGGCAAAAGCACCACCTCCTGTCAATTGACGAGTCTTTCTCATATGATAACAACAAGAATTGAAGTTGATGGACCACCAAAAAATTCGACGTGATTTAGGCGAGGGAGAGCCTAAAAGAATATCTACAACTGTTTTCAACTTGCTTACTCCATTTTATGGACAAAATGGTAAAAAATAAGTAAAGGAATTTGCTGAAATTGTAAAGCCTTTGTCAAATTTTTTAAGCAAGGGATTAGTAGCTAACTTTCAACACCCTACTAGTGATGGTGTTCAAGGTGGAAGAGTTAGAAGGAATCCACGGAATCAGCTAAATAAGGGGCACTGGCCCACCTCAACGAAAAGCAAACAGGAAATTCCAGACTTTGGCCTTGAGTTAGACTTTGCGTTTTAGCTAACTGGAGGTCATTTGGAAAGGGAGCTTTAAGTTGGCTCAGTAAATCGCCTAGCCACAGTATAATGCTGGCTCATAACAACCCAAACGATGACGTTTGCATAAAGATATATGCATAAGGCAGTGCCTTTCTACCGTCTCCTCTGTTCCTTGCGCCCTGCCCTCCCCTTTCCCAAAATAAAACACTGGAGTTATTTTGATCATTAACTATTTTATGGATCTGTTTCTGCAATCCTGACCGAGTGATGTACAACAGCTACCGTCGATTTATAGTGCCTAGTGCGACAAGAAGTCGGAGGGTCTTCTGGTACTTAAATGTATAAATGTGGAGCAAAAACCTCCTTGACATAATTTTTAAAACTGAAGAAATAATTTGACCAAACTGATTTCAATTAGTTAAATTTAAAGAGGGATTATTTGAGAAAATAACATTAATATGTGCATTGCATGGGATATGGTAATGAGATACTACTTTTATATAGCATGACAAGTAATATACACTCAAAGCCTACGTGAGAGGTTTACAGACGCCACTGTAATTAGTTCATTTATGACAGCGTGGTACCATCAGGCCCCAATTGCCCTACAGTTGACTCTTTCTAGTCTCCATGTCCAATCGCCTTGCAGTAAGTCGATGCATGTAGCCAATCAGAGGCCGATCTCATTCGAATGGGAATTAGATAACCGAAGCCTTCGCTGCGGTAGGTTTTACGACTTTGTGAGGGTAATTTATTGAGTATTAACTTAATTTCTTGATCTTATTGCAAAAAAGTGGTGAATGAGACTAGTTAAATCACCAAATAGCCCTGAAAAGTCTGCAGATTATGCAGATCATTAGTTTTGTGCACACCTGTGTGGCTTTTGCTGATGAGCAAATCAAGGTATAAAGATGTGTTTGTAGGGATGGCAAAAACTCAAATTCGTATTTATTTCTGCTCGGACATAATATAGGCCCTATAGTTAACGTAGACCTTTTTCTGCCCGAAGTTCCCTATTTCATATTTTCAGATAATTTGGAACCTGGAGAGGGTGCCAAGGGGTTGAACTTCTGGTCAGTCACAGGCATGGATCTTGGCAATGTGTGAAGGAGCAGCACTTCAATCTGCAAAGCGATTTTCTATAAAATGCTTCCAAAAATAGAGGTGAAGGGATTTGCACAAAATCCTCCCTAATCCTGAATTATGACATGAAAATTGGGTTAAGTGAACAGGTAAAGAGCATTTAAAAAACGCGTTGACGAAAAATAGCAGAATTCGTGGTTTTTACACAGCCTAATGGAGGGAGTCTTATGTACTCTAGGATGCTAAAATCACAAAGACTTTTATTGTACTTTCTACTAAAATTTCCTTCGACTTTGAATTTGCGGCTGAATAAGCCGGATGAGGAGTGATTTAACTGATAATCTACTTTAGTAAGGAAGTCTCTCCTTCTCCCTTCTTTATAATAAGGCGGCACTTTTGTTGCTCTATTTCGTGTCACAGGGTATGTTTAACAGTTGATGAAGCAAATGGATTACAAGTACGACAAATTTGAGGGCGGAGGCGGAAGAGATGGGCAGGCAGGTAATTTCGTGGGAACCAAGCAAGTGGATCCCACCCGCATGCCGTGAAAACAGGTGCAAAGGGAAAAAGGAGGGAACGGCCATCAGTTTGCGTATAATAAAAAGGTCTCTGTGCTCTTTAGATTTCTTTTTTTCTAACTAACCTAATGTATGGATTGGCTTCCAGATGTCAACATGGAGAATGCCAGTCCATCATAGGGTATCTACAAACTGTTCGTACATAGGGCAAGAAATCCTTGTGAGAAAACTGTGCTTCTTTTGCGTGCCTGTATATGTGGGTGGGATGTGCTCTACAAGCAATCATTTACCTGAAATTCTCCCATTTTTGATGGCTTAAAAGCACAGACGAGACATATTCACTTGACGGAATTGACAATTGAACTGGCTGCTAGAAAGGTGAAGTCTTAATAGAGGAAGCAATTCTTCATGCAGTTTGGTGTCATAAAATTTGCCCGTAGGAAGGTACCCTTTAGATGGGAGGGAGTGAGAGAAAGGAGACTGGGCATTCTCCCTTGTCCTTATCCTCTGTAGTTAACTAGCACTTCAAGTCTCTACCTCTATTTGGCACTGGGCAATCACATATCAGGTAGAAATTAAGGAATTATAGGAGAAAAGAGCGTGAAGACTCTCAAGATACCCTAAAAATTAGACTTAACTGTAAAAATGTAAGCTAAGGCGATTGAACTCTTGCCCTTCTGAACACGCCGTAAAACGAACTGCCAACTTCAAAAAACGGAATAACTTTTTCACGCAAGCACCTTGACTAAATTCCCTTACGACACTACAAGAACTTTTAATTCTGACCTAGAAACTAAATTCTTTCCCAGTCCGATAAACAAGGAATTCCTTTCTACAGGAAAAGGGGTAAACACATATAGGATCTACTGCGCCAAGGGAAATTTATTCCGCCTTTTTGCTCCTTCTACCTCCGGTGTCACATCCTTGAGTTGAGAGGACTGATTAGAGGAGGACAGGTTTTGCTACGCAATATGGCAACTTTTGCAAATGTTAAAAGTTTTTTTGAAGGGTTTGTTTTTGTCTTATTCACCTTGAAATTTATTGGCTTCTGCTCAGTTACAGTGTTGGTCCAATCTGCCCCCTTGTTGTCTCGAAGAAGTATATTCCAGAAAAAAATTAAAACTTAGGTAGCACCTTGTCTGACCTTCAAAATTGACTTCTTCCATCTACATTTTTGTCCATCCAGCTCTTATCTTAAGTCATCACCTGCTCCAAGCACAATTGATGCTACTCGGAGCTGATTTGAGACCCCGGAGTAATGTCAACCGGTTCAGCTTTCCTGACAGGTTACGTTAACCTGATAACTACTAAGTAGTTTTCAACAATTATACCTATTAGGAGGCTTTTTTAAACCACTAATTCATCTGTAAGGTGACAACTTTGTGTGAATGGTTGTCAAAGAGCGGAGAAAACGAGAGGGGAATGGAAAATACAAAAGCATACGAGCAACTGACAATTATTGCACCAAATAGCATAATAAAAAGGCTCAAAAATTATAAGATTTGTCACTAAATTACAAATATTGTCTTTAAATTTTTGGCGGATTTTTCTTAAATGATTTTAGCACGTCTTACACATGTGAATAGGGTCCTACCAATTGCCGCACATTTTTTGGGAATTATCTACTAAATTTGTGGCACACAAGGTGTTCCCCTTCACATCTCCCCTCCCCTAACTCTGCCTCTTGAGAAGGCCTCGTTCAAATGAGCCTTTAAAGAGATGTAGGAAAATGTCGAGAAACTACTGGCAAAGACAAGATGGACAAAATGTAAGTAAACAGCGGAAGGGACAAATTGAAAAATCGCTTTTCTGCCCACTTTCCCTCTCGTTATGGGCGTCGTTCGCCAGCCTCCTTCTTAAAATGCCTGTCACATGCCTTCCTGTGAAGTAGAAGACAAGAAGAAGGACGACAAGATGGTAGCAAATGTTAGAACTGATAACGTATCTGCTGGTTAAGGGAGGCGTCTTAGTTACGCCTTTTCAGGGGTGTTTTTACCCCACCTTGATTACTTTTACTAAATACTACTTGATTTCAGTAGCATCGAGAGCTGATTTGCAGGAGCGGCTATAACTTCAACAACAACAATGTACTCTCAGGTGATCTGTGGAACATCCTGAAACTTTGGTAGGTGCAAGGTGACTCGGCTGCAAAACCGTAAAGTCCGACCCACATCTCAGGTAGACCAAAAGTATAAATCCGGCTCTTCAGTCATCAGGCATGAATCATCAAATGAACTAACTTAATGTGTAAAAGGTCCCATTTCTACTGTGGGAACTCGGAACGCCTTTATCCTGTCAAAGTTGCCAAAGGATACAAACTACCTAGACGGTCTTGTCCCAGACAGCCAAATGAAAGGGTGATGGGCCACCTTTGTAGCCGGCAACTGGTAAGGAAGTTTATTCATGATGAACAGACCGCGAAGACGGAAGGTTTATCAAGATGGCAGACGAAGCAAGGAAGAGTGCGTGTAGAGCCAGAAGAAAAGGCAATGAGTCTGTCTCATCCACTTCATTACATTGGTGGAAATATCTACGGATGGACTCATTACAGCGCTCTGGCCAAGCAAAAATGAATCATGAAGGAGAAACAAAACGTTAAAAATCCCCAACACTTTATGCACAAATGGCTCTGTTTTGCGGCAAAAGTTTTCACCCGATGGGAGATTTTGCCTCTCCCGTTAAGTGCTTTGGCCAGTATAAATAAAATAGCAAGAGTGGAAGGGAGTGAGGGGAAGCCAGATCGAGAGAGGCAGGGGAAGAGAGGGCGAGAAAAACAAAGCGAATGAACAAAAAAGACGCGGAACTTGTCAAATTGATATGTCTTGTTGACAGGTAGAATTACTCTCTAAACAGTAACTAGCAATTGGGCAAAAATTTCGATTGAACACTTCTGTAAAGTTCAAGCATCGAAGGTAAAAATGTGCTCACTCAATATGTTGACATCCTTAGGTTTTTTCGGGAAAAAATTTTATGCTAAAGTTTTTGGGAGTCTAGATCTTCTCATGCTGGCTTGGAGAGTTTCGCGGTGATCATGAAAAAGAACCCCTCTGCCTCTATTTTTTCATCGCCCATCTCCGTTTGAACATTTCTTTTTTTCAGGTAGAGTACAAAGTGGCTGTCACTGCTGTCAAAACATGTCAGATGGATCCGACTTATTTGAGGGAGAATAGATAAAGGTAAATCAACGAGGTGATTAACCAGTGGAACCTCCCGAACTACTTCTAAACGGTGCGCCGCAATGGAACATTTTACACTTTCTGTAATGTGACAAGAAGCTGTAGGCTAATGACACCTTAAAGGTCTCGGCTAGCCAATTATGTGAAATGTGGCCGTCCACAGGTTAATTACTTTTGTGGAAAATTTTGGGGATGACTTATTCCTTTGTATCCACCCCATTATGTCCCTTTTTCGCTCATTGATATTACAATGCCCAAATACAGTCTGTTTGTCAAAATGTGGCAACCTTGCCATTTAATCCGTTTGAAAACAACGAAATGAAGCCGATTCGCCTGTTAGATTGGATCAGCTTGAAGCTACCATCAATACTGCGTCCGAGTCCTTCTTTAGGGCACTAGGAAAAGCGCGCGTCTTTAGGCACAGAAGGCCAGGGAAGAAGACGATTCTTGAATAATCAGTGTCTTCAGGGGTTACTCAAGCATTGTCCTGGTGCCAATGAGGCAAGATTAGAGATGCAGGTAAATTCAAGGTATGCTTACATCCAAATAGACAGACTGAATGGCTGCTATTTACAGGTCTTGTAGGATTGTCAATTGATTCTTCTACCCACTTGACCTTTTGTCTTATAAAATTACTTCTCTGCTTGTCTATCATCAAGACTTTAGCTCTTCCCCCTTTACATTACAAAAACTCATCAAGGCATCAGAAGCTTTATTATGGGGATTTCTGATTGATTTCACCACAATGACCTGTGTTAGGTAATCTCAAGATTTCGTCCATTCTTCCCTCTCTTTGTAACTTGGCATCAGTTGGCAATTAGATGAATCCAGCAGATGTGAGAGGAGTTTATCTACTCGTTTCAAAGAGGGGAAAAATTCCCTCGAAGGTTCATGGCATAGCATCTTAAGATGTGGTGATAAAACCCATCCTGAGCAGAAATTTTAAGTGGTTTTGGTGGTGAAGGACTTTTGGATGGTATTTTTATCCTTGAAAGCGAGTAAAGGATTATATGTTCTGGCTAACATGTCATTTATACGCTATGATTAATTTGTACTTTAGCAATTCAAACTCGGAAAGGAATGTTTTGGTAGATTATAAGTAGGTGGACTCCATCCCCAGACAATTATAGCAGCTGACATTTCTTCAATTCACTTCCTTTATTTTATTTATACCATGTTTGGCAATTGATGAATTAGTTATGGTAAACAACTTTTAAAATGCAACATTAAGCGAGTAAAACGAGCATTGAGTGCTTTCCCCTTAACTCCATACCAAAGGATCTATCATCCCACCACCCCACTGCCCCACACTTCTACGGGCCGCTTTGTTGGTGAGTGTATATAATACCCTGTAAAAGCACTTGTCTCTCACGCGTTCCTTAGCAAAGATTAACGCTGGCTTTCAAAAGAAACCATGTCTTTTCCGAAAGTTGACAGAAAGAGGCAGAAGATGCTCTTCTTACAAGTCAACTCAAGCTCGTGAGCCCCTTAGAGGTGGGAAACTTGCTCCCTAAAAAGACCACATGCACCACACTTGAGGATGGAAAGAAGGGGAAAGCCCTATCACCGCTATTTTTTATCTTATGCCCACGCAATTTGTACCAGAAACTCTCATGACTGCATCCTCGCCTTGTGAGAAATGGGACAAAATTTGAGGTTCGGTGGCCATATTGGAGTCATGTGCTTTCAATGTTAGGGCGATTTAACAAAGGCAGACACATAGCTGCCAAGTTTCTTGATGGAATAGGACTTCTTTTTTCTTGGTTTCAAGATTAAAAATACCGTTTACTTCCCCTATTCTTAATAGGAATGAGGTTAGAGTGGAGAACTTGGATCGAGTCACTTTAACAATTAGCCGGTTTTAAAGAAATTGTTCACATTTTGCCTCATCAATAGTAAAGCAGTTGAAATTGGTGAAATATGTGGCTATTTTCAGAAAGTACATTATTTATTTCATTTATGACATTGCGTGACAATTATGTCTGTGTCTGGATGTGTGTGTAAATGACTAAAAGGTTTAGCTAGTTCGACTTCCGTTTTTCGAATGAATTCTCCTCCGCATGAAAGAGGACAATTGAAAGTGAAGAGTACAATTGTGGAAAAATCTTTGCCTAGGACCAAGTGAATACTACCTGATTACCCGATGTCAAGTTCGCATTGCCCGCTAGTCTTTGCCAAATTTCTGGAAATATCTTCCCCTACTTTTCGTCTGTCCCCAACTTAACGGACTTGTGCTTGTTTAAAAAACAGGCTGACAAACAGATAGAAAGACACATACCTATTCTGTAGTCTCAAGCGATCGTGGATGCAAGTGGTCCACTTGAAGCATTTTCAGTCTGTTACACTAGTATAGCCCACTTTAAATGCCTCATCTCACAGCTTTTAATATTTGGAGTAATGCTTAATTTTTTTGTTACGATGAACTGTCCAAAGTACTTCCTTCTAACTTTTCAAATTTAAGGCAATGCGTGTTAGGGATAAAGGAGGAGGAATGTCTATTCAGAAGCAATTTCTTTCTGCCTCACACCAGATTGTTAATCCCCATTAGTCGGACTAAAGGAAGAGCCAGCAATTTTAAGCAAAAGGTCTAATTGTATGGTAATTATGCAGGCAACCAGAGCTGCTTTGCTTTCCTACATAATTGAACTTTTGGGCAAAAGAATTAAAATTTCACTTCAAAAGGCTTTATCCCAAGAAATAAGGTGATTTGAGGGTGGTATTTTGATAAGTGGACATAAATGAGATTAAAAGTAGGCAATTCGACTTGCGCACAAAAAGAATGCCAACATTTAGGCATATGTCAATGGTGGAAAAATTTCCTTTTTGGGGCCGTTTAAAAATAACACATGAAGACGCTTATCAAAGCAGCGGAGTTTTTGTTGAAACATTCCTAAAAGCAGGCAAATCCGACTTTTTTGAGAAGCACTGAGTGTGTTCATTCCGCTGATTCAGAAATGTGGCATATACAATCAGGTGGCAGGTCAAATCATACCCAAAATCCCTTATTGAGGCTTAAAATTTGTCCATCCTACTTCCGAAATTAAACTATTTAAGGAGAAAATAATGACTGCTGTCTGGCGAACGAAGCATCCCATGTGGCGTTCGAGTGTGCCGCACTAGGAAGGAACTTGGTGGAAGTAACAATGTAAATTTGCCTGTTTTCCAAATCGAGGTTAATGCAGTCTCCAACGCCACTGAATTTTCCTGTAAATTTTTCCAAAGATGTGACAGGTGATGGTGGGTCGTACCGTTCAGAAGTGGACTGAAGGTGATAAATCACCAATCACTCGATTTGGCCGGTAGATGCATGATCCAAAACTGCCAAAATTATCAGGAATTTTATGAGTACCTGCTGAGAGGTTAATTCCACATTTAGGGAAAGAAGAATTGTTCACTACCTTATACTTCAAGCCATAGAATTCCCTGTACATTTTAGATAAGTTTTCTGGATGACTAATTGACTGACTGACATTTGGAGAAGGTGCCTCCAAAAGTTCTACCCACTAATACCTTCCAGCTCTATGTCACGCACCACTTTACTGCCAAGATGCGTATTTCACACTCTGGTAGGAAAGCGCCTAACCGCTGAAGATTATAGTCCCGGACCTGTTGAAGATGGCGAAAAAAGCTTTATTCTCCTGACGGAGCGGAAGTAGCAACTTCTGCGAAAGAGGGTTTATTTTTACAGGGTAGTTACACGATGTAATTTTACAGCCTCACCCGCTGCATACGCTCCTTACTCTTTGAAAAAAATATTATTGTAATACTTACGTTGTTTTAATGTACCTTTCATGGAGGAGGCAAGCAGAAAATTCGAATTTCGTGATCGCATCATCCTCTCCCGTACCTAGTGACCGCAGCTCCCCTCCTTCTTGAACATTGTATTTTTTCTCCCCATCTTGTCGCCTTTAATAAATATGGCCCAAGTGAATCAACCAGGCTTGTCTAAGAGCGCTAGGAAAAGGGAAGCGGAGACCGATGAGTCTCGCTTCACATTATCGCCCACAATTACGAAAAAGGAGCCCTGTTATCTTTCTTAGAAGGGTCCATTTCCGCGTCGCCTTCTCAAATATTAAAGATATCTTGCTCATGCTTATCCCATTCTCATTAACTGAGATCAGGTTTAAATACACTCTAAATGGGCTCTTACTCACCGTAAGGTCAAGGTCAAAGAGTTATAAATAGGCATGACATACTCAGGCATGTAGGCAACGGACACCTGTATCAAAGTCTTTTTTCATTAATTTTCTGGTTGACAGCTGGAAAGGATCCGAACCCCACTCACACACAAATCTCAGCTCCTGCAAACAACACCAGAAAATTGTCCTCTTTTCCTTCGATTGACCTTTACATGGAAGAAATAGGCGTAAATCTACAGTTGACTACATTGAAACATTTGATTCTGATGGGGAGTTAGAAATGTCTTGCTTAAAATAAGCTAGTTACGATCTTTGTACAATAACCCGACACAGTAATGACCTCTGAAAAATCGGCATTTACTAAGTTTGTTCTAACAAAAAGTCGAGTGGAAAGATTTTTATTTTCTGTTCCATAAATTCAAGTGAAAACAGAAATGGCACATTTTCGAAGTATCGCCAAATTTTGATTCATGTGCGATTGCGGTATTAAGTTCGCTACAATGTAGTTAATAAATTTCGATGGGCTGATATTCATCTAAAGGTTTATGGCTGTCAAATAAAAATTTTGATGAAATTTTACTGTCAAAATCTTGCATAAAAGCACTTTAGTAGTGTTCGTTTGCCCTTCTTCTCATCCAATTGGCGTAAGAGGAAAAATTGATTATTTGGCTACACACGATCGATCACCCCACACCAACCAATGAAATTAATGCTGGCGACAATTTCCTCTAAATTCAGTTGAACACTTTCCAAACATACGGCTCGGAAGGGATAAAAAATGAATAGGTTGGCCTTAGGTGCCTACCAATTACAAAGCCCAATTTACTCGATAACGAATTTTATCTTTATTTTATGTTGCATCAACGAAAAATAGGGAAGAATAATTAAACTATGAAGAAAGATGTAGTGAGAAAAATTTTCCGTATTTTACAGTAGGGCCAAGTAAAAGTAATAAATTGCTACCGCAGGCAACTTTCTTTATTGTTGTTGTTAACTTCTACATCTCATGCAATTCTGGGAATAATGGGGAGAGGCAACCAATTGGGCGTTATTTGTTAATTATAAGTGAAGGCTGGAGGAGGGAACAAAAAATAGAAAATAAAATCATTGTGCATGGTTTCTTGATATGCATATTGCCAGTGCTCAGCGGTTTAGAGACGATAGTGCCATGTTATGACAGTTTATAAATAGTCATTTCTACCGCCAAAAGATTTATCTCCTTTTTTTAAATAAAACTCGCACGCCCAATAGGGGTGGTCTTGTTTTTGCCTCACTAATAAGGGGAAAAAAGCAAGTATCTCTGCATAGATCTCATCGAAGAAAAAACAAAAGTAAAAAGAGTTTCGCTTCCCCTGATGGGTCGAATTTGAAATATTGGAAAGCTTGTCAAATCTGTACGTGAGATTATGGGGTGAGGGCAAGTAGGAAGGAGAGTAAATCTCACAAGGAAATAGAATGATAAGAACACATCATTCTACAGATCAAAGTGTGTCAGGTAAAGCTTTAAGCACCTCTCACATAATCAACTAAAATTCGACAAATTTGGAAGGACGTGTAAGAAAAAATCGCGCGAAAGGTGTATAAAGGACATTTGTCTGCCAGCTAAGGAGAATTTCTTCCTAACAAAGTGGTTTTTTCCATAGAGCGCAAAAAGCAGCAATTCCATGCCTTGTATTCAATGAACATGCAATTTTTTCATTCTCCCTCCCCCACTGTAGCAATCTAATAAACCATCGGTTGCAGCAAAATTGTGGGAAGCGTAACTAGGAGTTGGGAGTAACTCATATAAAAAGGGGAAAAGTGCCTCATTTAAATGTTGCTTAAATGCACAGCTAATTAAAACAACGCGTCGTCGTTAATAGTGGCGCAGTTTGCATTCCCTGCTAGACAGGGTAGATGATTATCGCCAGCGTAGTAAATAATTATCCAAGTGCTCCATTTTCTAAAATAATAAAATAGGATTTGCAGTTTTTTTTGAATATACGTAAAATAAAACAAGGTGTTTCTCCTACCGAATTAACTACATTTGTGAATTCACGCATTATCGAAAAGTATTTATGGATAAAAAAGTATCTTTTGATAAAGACTTCGCTTAGTTAGTTTGTGTTTGGATCATTATGGAGACGGGAGGCAATTAGCTGTAATATTTAAGTTTCGGGATTAAATAACCTCTAGAGGAATGGCCTCTTTCGTTGGCGAAATACCTGGAAATACGTCAAATTTGGCTGTCACCAATAAAGCTACCGAGTTTTAGTTGAAGATGAAATAACCCAAAGCAGTCTGGGAGAACATACTACTAGCTAACCTAGCCGGAAAGCTATGCTGCAGAGCGGGAGAGCAACCTGCAGATGCCAAAGTGTCTGCTTTTTTCAGTGTAAAGGTAAACAATGTGTCACATGGTCTCACAGTTCCTCTCACATTTTGAGCATCTTTCTCTTCGCTTTTCTTAATCAATTGCCCACTTCAGCCATCAAAAATAGACGGTGACGTATAAATAATTTCCGCCAACTAGAAACTCCGGTCCTTGGCTCTTCCTGCACGAGAGGAAATTTTATCCCAATGTCACTGAAGAATCTCGGCAGTCCTGCAACATCCGGAGTTTTCCCCCAATGTGTGGTCTCTATTAGGGAAGGGGAAATGCTCAATACCGGACGATGTCCCTTAATGAGGGCAATCGGCGGCCACAAGGATGTTGGCCAAAAGGCAAAGTCAGTTAACAAAAGACAAGGTTTAAAAGAGTGTTATGGGGCTAATTTTGCACATCAACTCCTTGCTACTTTGTTCGCCGTTCAGCGTCACCAGGCCATTTCAATGGGTTCCATTCAGGCAGTAGAGGCGTGGAGGCGGCAAAACAAATGGCTCCGTGGTAAACTTTTTGAAGCGGTCAAAGTGTGGTGTTACTATAATGCCAATAGCCACTATGCAGAACCTGGTATTGGGACAACTCCTAAGGACAGGTTTCTGTTAAGAGTCTTCACAGGTTCACCCACTCGCTGCAGATGGGCTCCCTCACTCACGTCAAAGCGTAAGGCATTCAGCCGGAGAAATCCAAGGGAGATGTACTTTTGCTTTGAGCTCACTTCTCTAGAGACGTGGCAAGCCAAATTTGCATAGTGGAGGATGCATTGCTAGCATACAAGAGGGGCTAAGAAGCCATCCGCATGGCCTGAAGGCTATGCCGCGGAGCGGATGTGCAATCCGCGGCAACTGACGCGCCCGCGGACTTAAACGTGGAGACAAAAATATAAATCAAATCAAACTGCTACACAACCTACGTAGTTTGAGTCAATACATGTCCATAAATGTTTTTTTCAAAGAAAAAATCAGAAATAAACAAAATTATTAAAAAAATTTTCAGTCATTTTACTATCACATCCATTTTTCTCCAAATTGTGATATTTTAAGATAACTACTTTGTTTTAAGTAAATTTTTAATGTCAAGTCGATTGTTTTGGCATTTAAAAGTCTTTAAGTCAACTCCCATCACATCAAGTATTGATTTTATTTGCTGCCAACTCAATGATTGGTCAGCTGATCGTGAGAAAAAATGATTGGCTAGCGTTGCACAGATGTATTTACTTAATAAATTATTTTCTTATTTCCATACTAGCTAATACATTTTGTTGGGCCGAAAAGTAACAGGTGTGAGGCGCGGACGTGTGTGCGCGCGTGCGTTTGTTGGGAATACTGTAACGTGGGATCGTTTGCAGCACCTGACGCTTCTTGGTTGCGAACTTCACCAGCTGACAGAGGCACTTCGTCTTTATGCCGAGAACTTCTCTGTTGTAATGAGTCGTCGAAATCCTTCTCATTTAGACGGTTATCCATCCAACAACCCTCTTCGGAGGCGAGCCAAGAAAGGACCATTCTACTAGATATTAGCGATTCCTTGCCCACTCCTCATCATCCGTCGCCGTTTTTTGGTAGCGAGGGAAGAAGTTTCTGTCAAAGACCTGCTCATTCTAGTCAATGACGAGTTGGGATAAGGTGTCTCAGCATTGTTCTGGGTCGGTGTCAGAGAAAATGCCGGCATCTATTGTGGCCGAAAACACATTCTGATCTGGAGTAAGGAGGATTTGAGGTATTCTTCGGCGTTTGGTTTTAAGGCAAAGGTTAAATTTTGTGATTTTGAGTTACTCTTCAATGCTCATGCAATCTTTGAATAAGGGGAGTCCGCCAGCAGTGTCATCAGTGCAGAGGATTTCTCTGAAATCCCTTCCTCTCTGATTCGGTAAAAGCATGCCCATCGGCATAACTTAACGGGAATGGGTACAGAGTCATGGAAATCTGTCACGAGCTGTGCTAACCGAACACTTTTTCCCCAAAATGTACATTCAAATAACATATGCAATAAGCTAATGTATTTTGCCCTATAGAAAAGTAACCGGCGTGGGATGCGGAAGCGTGTATGTGTGTGCGTGGGTTCTTGTACGCATGTGTAGCCGCTTTTAAGCAGACCATCGTTGCAGCAACAATGCTTGCTATTTTTACGCTCAAACCAGTGAAACCTATCTACACATCTTCACCTTTTCCATGTAAGTTAATAGCTATACCACTCCCTCCTCCCTTCTCCTCCTTCTTCCGCCTCTTTCTCTTCCTATTTATTCAATTTTGGAACCTTTTTCGTGCAAGATGATTGTGTATTATAAAACTGAGAGGAAAGATGATGTGACGAGAGGTGAAGAGCCCTGTGCCAAGAGGAAATTGATAGAGTGCCGATCGTTTGAATCCCCTCCTAATAACGCTATAGGCAAATTCATTGGTTTTTAGTAATTTTTTGAAAAAAAGTCACTGACTTCTAAATTTGATGTTTTGACAATGTTTAGTCATTTATCTACGTAGCACAGACAAATCAAATGTTGGCAGGATTTTCGAACACTACTTTTGCGCTTATAAGTAGAGTTCAGTAACAGCCTTATTTGTTACTATCAGTTTTAGTGATTTCACGTCGAACGTCGCCAAAATGATATAGATTTTGGAAATAATCAAGCATGATTGATACGACAGCGTCATTTGGGGATGAATAAGTCTGGAAATACTCGTGACAACTCAAGTTTAGTTTATTGTTCAGTAATATAAGGGCAATTGGAAAAGCAACTATGTGGCAAACCTTCAAGACACGATGTTAAATGATGAACTCGCTTTTGGGCAGGGACGACTTTTGAAGTGACAAGCAGTATGGCATACCTGGCCTATCTTCCATGTACTTTGAAGGTAGGTATTCGACATCTCCCAGGAAGTGTGCATCTCTTTAAAATTTGTATCCAACTTGGCGTCTAAAAGCGCTCAATTTGTTTCAAAAGGAGTGCAGACCTTAAGAAAACAAGTTGGACGAGTTATTGGTGAGTAAACGACTCATAAGCGTGGGCGTGAAAACTGTTTCATCATTCCAGTGAGTGGGTGGGACATTAACTCAGGGCTGCGGAAATAAACGGAAACAGTGTTTTTTTTCCTATTTCCCTCTTTCCTCATTGGTCTCTTACTCCTATTCCTTAGAGAGGACACTTTGAAGAGGGTTAAAGTTTGTTGGCCTTCACCCACACATTGGCCAGCATTCAATATTTCCTAATTTATTTGCAAAGCATTAAAACCTTTTCGTGGATAAAACAAAAACTACTTCGCTTATTTTCTGATTTGTCAAGTCCAACCTCAAGAAGAAGTACGCGAATGCTGGTATAAGTGGAGGCACATTCTGTTTTAAATCAGCCCATCTTCTGGCGCCACACACATTTTGCTACGATCGGTAACTGCAAAATGCAGAGAAATTGATGTCACACATTTGTCAATTCGGGTCAAACTGGGGAATTCGCAGTGCCACACATATGTTCCGCTAATATGTTTTTTGCAAAACCGTAAAGGAGTCGCCAAGTGAACTTCGTAGATTCATCAGTAAAATTAGGACGTTTGACATTTCGGTTCAAAATCGGTCCATCTTCACTTTCAAGCAGAAGTAGAAAAGTAAATTATTGTCAAAAAGATGGATAAAGGGAAAATTTGTCCTGATAGCTATTCAAAACGAGGTGTTTTTACGTATTTCTCCCCCTTTCCTTCTTCTAATTTAAGCGTTACTGGTATCCAGGTGCAGGAATCCCCTGGTCTTGTCACCTCGTCTTCTTATTTCTCATGTGTCTAATCCACTTCTCATATGGTAGAATGTTAAATAAAATATGGTAATCACTTGCCAGAGAAATGGAGCAGTTTCTTCCTCCCTCCACCCTACTTACCATCCATTCACCCAACCTCACTCCCAGCTCATGGCCAAGGCTTGGAGGCATGAGAGATGCGATTGCTGTATTTTCTGTCCAAAGATAGGTGAAATAAAGCGTTTTCTCCTTGCCTGGAGCATAAAATCCTCAATTTATGCCAGATTTAAAGGAGCTTTTCTGAACGCACGTTACTGCGGCCTACTTCTAACACATTTACACAACCGAATTGATACTATCGAGGGCAGAGGGTCCTCGAGAACAGTTTATGTAACTTTAATACCAGTTGCGAAAATGATTTAGTTAAAATGCAGTACTTTCTCTTGCCAACTCGCGTTATCCCTCGATTCTTCTGATCAAACAGAAAGACTAGCAAAGCCAAGGTCAGTCAACGTGTCTCAAATGCGTAAGAATATGGCAATTCTGCATTTTTGGGAGTGTGCTTGCAGTCACCTGCACATATTTTATTCCTCAATTTGCTCATACGTCTTGACGAATAAAGATATTCGCATGTTTTGGTTAGGCACTCGACAGGATCCGAGATTACGGATGTGGTCAGTTGTGTATACGTGATTTGCGGTTTCGTATAGTCATCTTAGGCATATGACAACTTGTCGGATTGGTATGCTTTTACGTAAACTCTTCTACATTGTCTTGATGTTGCTTTCATGCTTTCAGCCATCAGAAGGTTAAAGTATACTTTACAATCATGGATGATTCGAGACGTGCTACAACCTGTGCCGCCAATCGTATGACCTACTGGCCTTGACCCAACTTGGCTCTCGACCACATAGACAATCGACGAAGCCTCCAGAGTGGCCGTCTTTATTAATCCACGTGTACAGGTAGGCGCAGGGATGTGGTATCTGTGTGTGGATAAGACAGCTGGCTATATGGGTCACTGGCACCTCCTAGTCACGTGTGCCTCTAATAGTGGACTGGCTTTGACCTTAATAGATCTGCGCTTTAAAGTATTTCTAATCCTGGTCCCAGCCATTTAGGAGGGAGCAAGGAAGAGGCGAAATCAAGAAAACGGATCATTTTAGAATATTAGAATTTACGTTATTCTGGGGTTATAGACATCTCCAACAAGATGGGGTCAGCAACAGCAGCTAGCAAAATCTGATTCAAACAAACAGCTGTTGTAATTTCATTGGCATAGTACCAGATCTGAACAGCACGAAGGTTTGACGTCAGCTGGGAGAAATAAATAAGCCACGACTCACACCAGAAAGGCTGTTAACTATGTGGTGACCCACTGGTAATCTCACAAACCGCCACGGCCTAATTTAAGGCGGTTTTCCTTAGGATCGAAAGTGACTGGAGCTTGAAGGATGCACGCTACAGAATGCGATCCGTCTTTTAGCTTCACTTGTCCTGTGATAAGGGGTTTCCCTTAAATTCGCGGCAAGAACAGTCCGCAGTTTACCTTCTACATAAGGCGTGAATCCATTCTATCATCCTTCACTCCCGCCTCGATGGCTATGTCCTAAAACAATGAGGGCTTCTGCGATAAGTCGTCTGTAATATTAAGGCAAGCCGACGCATGTGTGTGAGATCGGCTCCCGTCGATTAATCAACTCAAAGGCGGCAGAAGAGGCTACGATTTCAACACAGATGAGTACGAGTAAGCTGGGTGTACCGCGTGTTTGCGAATGTGGATATTGGAGGAATGGAGCAGTCCTGTTCTCCCGCAGTTATAGCGGCTACTAGCATAAATAACGTCTAACTGTAAGTGATGTTGACCAATCTCAGGAAAGGGTATAAGACTGCAAATTTCGAGGCCTTTTAGGATTTTCGAACATTAGGGGAAATAAAAAGCTAAATTTTAGGAACCTGACATGGCATCCTTAACGTGGACCCAGTTATCTCCATTGAAGAAGTGTGGCCTTGTCCAAAAAAGTTTTGACACGTTCTGACTGAATATGAATAAAAGGAAGAGGGGTTTTGCATGTCTTGAGATCTCAAACGACTGTTCCTTGTGAAGTATTGCGACTCCAGTTTGCCACCGACTTATATTTAAAGGAAATAGAATCTTTCAGGGTTCACGTGGCGCGTCTCTTAGAAGTGTGCAGTACTGAGGTATATCATCGCCCTAAAGCAATCGGTAGCTTTTTTGTTTGCAAGCAATTTTTAACCATCAACTGCAAACTGGCAAGCCTTAACGATTAATATCTGTGGTCCGTAGTTGACATATTTGCCTTGTGGCACTCATGTGTCCAGCTTCCACAAATTGCCTTCTCAAATGATGAGGGTGTCCACCAGCTGTTCCAGAGTCACTCGTCTTTGGCGTGCTTCATCTACCATTCTGTGTCAACATTTTTCGAGTCACCTCTAAGTCTTGCAATTGGCTACCGTATATTCCACTCTCTTTTAACGCTAATAAAATAATTGCATGCCAACTATAACAGTTTTGGCGGCTGGGTGGATAATCACTAGTATCAGGTTGGCTCAAGTGGCATTACAAGGGGAGCAGAAATTGGCGACTATCATGCTCAAATCCTTTAAAAAGTCATGGCAATGAGATTCCCCGACTACCCCATAAATTCTTCTCCTCCTTTTTGTTTACTTCCTTGATTCCAAGTAGAAAAACCAGCCAAGAAAGCAAAGGTCACTTTAAATCCAGTTTAAAAGATCATTGGATTAGACGTGCAAATTAGTGATTACAGGTGAAGCGTGTGTTTAAATGGGATTTCCAAAAGTGTAGAACATTTGCATGTGGTAATATAATTACATGGCAGACAAAATCTGCTTAAAAGCGCCTTTTTAAGTGCTCCACAGATTAGCTACCACGTTGGTGGCACGAATGTCTACGTTAATGTTCCTTCTGTCTTTCGCATTTATAACTTAAGGCAAAATTTTTTTTAGGATTTTTCCTTTAATGACATATGAATGCCTGAAGAAGGATGCTAGACGCCTTCCCATTTCTTGAAAGGCATTTTTAAACCAGTTAGTGGTAAAATAGATTAGTTGGTAATTAAGCAAAGACGACACCCTCTGTGAAGGCAATCGAGAACTTAAAAAGTCGCATCGAAGAAAAATCTAAAACACACTTTTTTAAGGGTTTCAATATGAGGATGGAGATAATTCATAAAATACCATATGAAAGCGTCTTTATTTTCGAATTTCCAAGATCCCTCTTTCACAGGCTAATGAAAAGCATTTAAAAGATTTCGTAGACCGTTCTCTCGCTCGCTTGCCCTCTGATTGGTCACTATAACATGAAGTAGGTGGATCTGTTAATCGGTCCCAAGGGTGGAACGGGACCACCACTAGAGGACGCATACAGGGAGTGATGACCTGTTTAAAGTGTTCCTACTAGTTGAATACTTCGATTGGGATCTGGAACGATGTGGTTTCATCCTCTGTTTGTGGTTCTATACAACCCACAGAAACTTGGGGAGATATTACTCGTGAATGATGAGTTTTATCTAAATATGGGGATGCCTTAGATCCTTGAATGCTACTAATATAATGTTTACGTAGGAAGGGGGAATGAAGACAAGACGAATACGGGAAGGAAATTCCTTAATTGGCCCTTTATTTGGGAGAGAGTTATAACTACACTAAATTGGCGTTCCCTTTACTGAAGGCCTGATCTATGAAACCAGGTAAAGTGGCACGAGTGCTCATTTCAACATAGGACTGGGGCGAGTCGGTCCAGACATTGTTCATCCAAATGGCATACTCCAGTGGTATTGAGTCTTTGCAGCCGAGGGTTCAAATGGCTCAAGTGGCCTGTGAACAGAGGACGTCAAGACTCCGGATACCTATGCAGGCCTTCGGATATAGTGTGACGAAAGGACAAAAAATAGTATCATATTGCGTGGCAGTATCATCTGCAAGAACAAACTTAGTGATTTGCGCAGTGAACAGTCGATCTAGGCATTCGTGAGAACTTAATACCTTGTTGAAGGCCTATCCATCACAGCTAAGATCTCAGCTACACTACAAAATTATACACCAAAAACTTTCCTTCCAATTACCAAGGTCTAATGACGGTTCATTTCACATAGGATAATCCACGATGATTTGCGCTTTACTAGTGAGAAGTTCAAACGAGAAAAAGGAAAGTTATAGTCCCGTGCTAGGTTCCTTGTCACCCAGTAGATTGTTCTTACCTTCTCGGCCGATATTAAACGATGTCAGGTAAGGTAGACGGTGAGAAAGTAAGCATAAGAGGGTGGCTAATCTTATGCTTTCTAACTCCACATTTCGCTCATTTGGCATCTAGTTAATAGATAGCTGATAAAACACCCATTCTATGAGTTTTAAAGCCTTTTGAGTGATTAGATCTTAGGATTTAAAATGCACGCGCCTTTTATATTAACATAACCAAACGTAATAATATAGGTTTAAATATAGGATGAGGCCTGCTAGACGTTTTATAATGCAGAAAGTAGTGTGGCTATAATGCCTTCTATTGCCACATATTTTGGTGTAAAACTTAACAAAGCCTGCCTAAACTATGCCTTCTTTTAGGAAAAATGATCTTCTTACAAGAATATTTTACCATGCCTAATACACTTACCTGTAGTCCATCCGAGTGAAAGGTAGTTTGTTTTTGAAGGTAAGTGAAACATCTGATTGTGCTTAGGAAGCAAGCTGAAGCACACGAGATGTAAAGTGGATGGCAA